TGCTGAAAATCGTATCAGATAAAGGATGTTGTGATCAGCTGGAAAATGATGCATCAATAGATGGCTCCATCTTAATCCCTGGAACCTCTGCATGTGACCTTATATGCAAACAGGGTCTTAGCAGCTGTGATTAAATTAAGGACTAACTTAATTTGAGATTGGGAGATTATCGTGGATTTTCCAGGTGGGTCTAAATGCAATCACAAGCATTTTATTAGAGAGAAGCAGTGGGAGATTTGACACACAGGGGATAAGACGGTCAAGACTGAGGCAGAGACAACACAGTCACAGACAGCTAACACTGACATGTTAAGCAACGAGTGCCACAGAAATATTTACTGTTGTTATTACTTAGACTGTAGGTGTTAACTGGGCCTGGCCTGGCCATTCCTGATGAAAACTCCTATGTCTATGAATAGCCTCTTCTAGAACTCGGGCTTTGTGATGTCTTTTAGATATTTTGAAGGCTTCCAACAGAACAAGGCATGGGTTAAATGAAAGCAAATAAGCTTTACTACAACCATATCTGAAATTTGTTTTTCTGATCAAGCAGGATGGGAAAGAACAGTGGGTGGAGTCCCGGGCATGTTAAGAATGGCGTGTTGTTTTTTAAGTGGTGAGTGGAATGTATTTGTTCATTGCCCCAGCAAACACTGCTATTCAATGATTGTGTGGTGTTGAATCCTGTAGGGTCATAAAAAGTCTAAGCCTCTTAGAATAAGAACCTTACTAATAATATGCCTTGAGTTCACACAGTTCCTGTTACTCCAGGAGCTCAGGGAGCTTTTCTGAATCTTCTCTACTTTATTCATGTTCCTAGGAAGTGATAGATACATTTTAAAGAAAAGAAAACAGGCCAGGTGCTGTGGCTCACGCCTGTAATCCCAGCACTTTGGGAGGCCGAGGCAGGCAGATTGCTTGAGACCAAGAGTTCAAGACCAGCCTGGCCAACATGGCAAAACACCATCTACTAAAAATACAAAAATTAGCCAGGAGTGGTGGTGGGTGCCTGTAATCCTAGCTT